ATGTACATGCGATAAGTTCATCACAATGTCACAAGTCATTTATCGATGGAAAGAACGTAGCGAACACATGGCTAAAGTCAGTTCACGCCTTTACCCCCCCCCCCCCCCGCCAGGCTTTGAACGGTGTCCGACTGATGCATACTACAACTAGTAACTTATCCGTGCACAGGATCAACGCCTGTCTGAAATGAGCGGTGCTGTACCCTCGAAATTGATGCACTTCGTTGTCTGGTACGAGGAAGCGTCTTTCACACCGTCCCCGGGCGTAGGCAGACTACCGCTCGAAACATTCATCGGACTATAAACTTTCCTAGGTTGTAATTAGCCATTGGTTCTGAAGGCAAAACCACAAATTACTAATTATGACAACCTTGACTTCCCGACGGACAACAGCGACCTCAACAAAATTTTCTTTTGTCAGACGTTAAACAACAATAAATATGACTTAAACACCCGTTGAGGTTATCAGACAGAGTAAGACATACAAACGCCAACCCTGTCGAGCCTTCAAGTTGCCATCAGCTTTATTTATAATCAGATCGAAAGCTATTAGTGTGAGGTTAGGTGTTGCCATACTCTCATGACTGTTTGAACTCCTAGAGGATAGATAACGATAGAAAGCAAAGACAATAACACGATTATGCTTGAATTTTATTGATTCTTTTTTTCATATCTGTTGTAAATTCCGTTTGACATAAATTTTCATAAAATACGAGAAAGTAAAACAGTTAATTTGCATTCAAACACTCAGCATGCGATGCCCAAGGCTGAGTTGAGCTACAATATGGTAATGTACAATAATAGTGAATTCGTATCTGTGGAATCGTCTTTCCTGTCAGCGTTAACCGTTATGATATTACGCTCGCTCAACGCGATATTGGTATACTGCAATACTTTTGATCTGGAACCGTTTTCAAAATAAAGACCTGTTCTTTACAATATTGGAAGTCGATATTTATATAAATATTTGCGCAAGACATCTTCGATAACGCTTAGTAAACCTTCATAAGGGCAAACAGTTCCAGCTGTTTTTTTTTTTATTTTTTCTATTGTTCTCAAAATGAAAATAGGCCGTTCAAGTTCGAGTTATTTTTTTTACAATAGCACACGGTTATATACAATAACGTAATCGATAAATTTCTAAAAGTAATTAGAGAAATAAAGAATTTGGGATGACGCGGATTGTAATATATTTTCCGTTCGCCGATTTCAGTTAACACGTTTAGCGTATATTCGTACGGCGACGTCAAACTATTTCCCTGACTCGAATGGGCCTGAACGGCCCAATCCCGCCTAGTGTTTCGTCGTAGCTAGTTGATGGTATCTATTGCGCATGATCACTATGCCATAGAACCGTCATTTAACGATTCAGGATGCCCTTTCTTTATTCAGTCAGTCATGCCGTGTTGCAACTAGACGTTAAACTAACGGTTCCCAATATTTGCTCTTTCAACCAAGGGCTTCACGGTTTCATCCATCACAACAAAGTACCGTTTATATAATTGGAATAAAAACAGCTGATACTGCATGTACGACAATGCAGAATTACAGGTCTGAACAAAGCGGTCTAATTTTCCTCTGCGCGAAGTACAGCGCATTGTGTACCGATACCCACATCCATCAGAATTTTTTTTAGATTAAAAAATGACATTATCTGGATTAGTTCCTAAGTAATCGCTCATAACTAGTTAAGGGAAGAAGTTCTCTGCTCGGTTATTGATGACATCGTAGTTTTCGAGGCGTATTGGAGCCTCAGCCGGCAAAAAGTTTCCCACATGTAAACTTAACGAAGTGTACAAGTCAGCTATAATTAACTATGCTATTAACGAGGTTACTTCGGTCGATTTTCACTGGATTTAAGTTTTAACTTTTTTACGCATTAATCAAAATATCAAAGCCATAGTTTTCTTGCACTTATATGTGCTTATGATTTAACCTGCGTAAAACCTTATGAAGACCTTACAGCAGTCAAGTTAGATATAAGTTGATAGAGATAGATAAAATTTTCTGCCTACGAAATTGGACGCATATGGAACCCGATGTCAGCGTTTCCAATCGTTAGATCAAATATATTGATTCAATCAAAAGAATAGTTCTTCTTCTGTGGAAAGTTCTGTGAAAGCTTGCTCTTAATAAAACTACTGGCAATTAGTAATATTATTAAGTAATGTACGTCCGCTTTTCTTCTATTTTTACTCACGCATTTAGAAATATACACCTGCTCACCTAGGTGACACGTTAGGTCGGTAAGCTGACTAGAACACGCTCGTCCTTAACTGAAAAGCCTAAGGTTATTCAGACAAGATCGAGCTACTCAGTGTCAAGATGAAAACTTTGCTTCGATCAGTTTTAGTATAAAAACTATAATTTAAAATTAAGGAGAAAAAGTACTGGCTTTTCCTGTTAGTGGTCGGGCTAAAAAAGTGGCTCATTAGGGTAGCGTTCCTCATTCTTAGCTTTTAATAATTTTTAGTTATCAACCGACTTTCTCGAAATAAGTACATATACAAGAATTTTATATAAGTCCATAAATAGAACGCGCGTAATGTCTGAAATTTTTTTTCTTCTCATATAACCATAGATAATTAGACTATATATAAACAGTAAATTTACTGAAGTACGTTTTGCACTCAAGCGACGACAGATATGCCACGCAGCGAACTCAACTATTGTTGACGGCTCTAGCTACTGATGATGAAATCTGCTTCCCGGTTTTTGAAAGAGTCGAAGCTTCGCTTGATGACCTTAATTAGCCCTCCCGTTTCTAACAGCGACCGCGGTCTTTTCCGAAGCCCCTGTGATTTGCTGCCAGAGCGTCGGGGTGATTTGCCCGGGAAAAGTGAGTATAAGCCCTGGTAGTAGTAAACGAATGAGCCCAACCCGTCTTAGAGCAAATGCTGAACGTGGAAGGGATACAATGAAATTTCCCAAATTAAGTTCAAATTAACTGTTCTTACAGAACCCCATCGGGGCTCATTATATCATCACAAAACACCACTCAAACAGACGCGTATCTTTCTATAGAGGTTTATCCTATACAGCGGTGAACGAATATCTGCTTGAGTGGAGTGGAGTGGTCCTACTTTTAGGTGACGCTTCATCTGTTACGGGCCGTAGCGTGTTTCAGATGAAGAAGGTTGTCAAAAGTCATCTGTCCGACCACCTGCCTAGCGCCATCACTGTCAGTTCACGTTGAATAATGTGTGCAGATCAAGTGCGTGACTCATAGGAAAGGATGTCAGAGGGGCTGAAGCAAGAAGAGAAGGGACAGGGAGTGGAAGGACGAGTATATACATTCACATAATAACTATAATCACGCAGAGCAGAATACGAATAGTGTGTCAGCCTATACGTGGGTATTTGTGTATGGCCATATACATCTTTTTGGTGTCTATGGGATTTGTTTGTCGGTGACAGGAACTATGAGAATGTACGAATGGCTGGTCAAATATATACCGATGCGAAAGGATATGGGGTGATTGTCCACAGGGTCTCTGTCCAAAGGGGCAGGGGCATTGATATACAACGTGCTCTTCCTCATACAACGCACGTTTCCAAGACAGTTTTTGCCCTCATTTAAATATATCTTTCACTAAGACGTGTTGCTGCAGTAGCAGTGGCGGTGGCGGTGGCAGCGTTTAGTGAGAAAAATCCCATTAGAACAGCTGCACATGCACCAGCATTCTTTCCTGCGATTTAGCGCGCCCCTTTATGAAAGACCACAGTCTTGCTAGGCAATGACCTCCCGTAATATTGTGATGAATCCAAGAACAACAGGGAAGCCCAAATCCTATACGTATCGCAGACTAACTGCTGTCTAGGATGGCCTGATTTTTCAACCACTGTAAAGGACGTTCATTTTTTTCCACTAGTTACAAACTGAATCTTCTAGGCATAATTGTTATTTGCAATAAACCAAGCATCTGAAGAATGTTAAAAGCCTGTATGGAGAGTAAGCCAATGCTTATTGATTGCTGCTCCATTCCTATACTCCTGTTATAGGACACACGTACGTTCTAACCACTGACTAACGCTCCAGTATATAAATATAGGATTTTGTTTAAGTTGCCATAGCTCAGATTAAGGCCAAGTATCACGGACATAGCAAAAACTTCTCCCTGACCTGCAGTAGCTCGTCCTTGGGTACTCCGTAATTTTTTGGAATACTTGTAGTTTTCGTCATGTCATGTAGTTATTGTTGTCTATCTACTAATGATTTTCTGTAACATCTATGCTTTGTAACAGAGTTGCTTTGGTGCTAAAATGTGTTGAGTAATATTTTTTTTCATAAGGATTTGCCAGAAGTGTATGGTAGCGGCAGTTTTTGGGAATCATCAGCTGCACCCACATCAGAAAATTGGAAAAATTGCCTCCGAGTGAGAAGCCAAAGCCAAAAAAACAATTTTTTTGCGTTATGCGAGCGGTACTGCTCTAGACAACGCGGTTACGATAGGTCTTGCCTGCGTACTATTTATGCTAAAATTTTCTTAATATAACAGATTGGGCCTATTTTCGTCCCTGACTTGAGGTCGACTGTCGGCGTTTCAGGGGTGTTTATATAGTCGCCTGAGCGGGCAGAATTGACGTCAAGCCGACCAGAATCAAAGGGTAACCTCATTTGTAGGCAGAAAATATGGACACCGCCAACAGTAACAGATATTCGAAGGAAGACAAATTCGAATAGAATGCTTCTCTATGCACTAGAACATTAGCTGGTGGAAAAGAGAGCCTAAATGACCTAGGCTCCTTAGAAATAATGTTCTTCTATCTTTCCTTATCTAAGAAGAACGTAACAACATTGATTTTTAGGTAATACGATTGTTCGGATTACGATGACAGTAATATCAATAGGCATCGTTCGTTCAAAGGGTCGTTTGACAGATAGGTGGACCGTCAATTCGCTCAGCTAACGCTAAACGTTCAAGTTATGGCAGGAACTATCATACGTATTGTCTGTAACGAACTGCCTTAATTCAGTAAGATTGTCTAATATAACTTACCGGGACACCGTTCGATGGTTAACCGACACAGTTGTCGTTGCACCCTCTTCTGAAAACGTCAACGGCAACAGATGGCATAATTAGATTAAACGATGCAAATCAACCCGCGGATAACTGTAAAGTTCAACATAACTCCTCAAGTCTCTATTCGACTACTATAATGAACCGTTAACTAACTTGACAAGTGATGCCACGATGCGGTTATATCTCTCTATGCAAAACGTTCGATATTTTTCGCGGAGTTTGGGTCCAGTAATCGATGGACCGTCTCAGGCTACTTCGTTTTCAAGCGATCTCGTATGTGGCGAGCTTCATTGAAAGCTCACGAAGACAAAACTGACTTCGTTATCAGTCCATTGTTTTTGTCCCCAAGTGTCCACTAGATGGTATGTATTGCATTATTAGTTAGAATATATCGATCTTGCCTCGTGGCTGCACAACCGTTACGCATTCTTCTATTCAATATAACATAACCATTTTTCCGATAGATAAGTTTTCACTGTTCGAAGTTATTGGCAATCCCTATTTTCAGAACTCTCCGAGGTAATGATCTTCTTTGGAGTTCCCCTTTGGAATCGATTTTTTTCTTGTGAACATTTTTATTGTATTCATCTGCCGTCCTTCTATCATTCCTGACCTTTTCCATAAAATGCCAATATCTCATAAATGAATTAAGCGAACGGAGATAGAGGGGAGGCGCTTGTGATAGCGTACGCTCAAAATACGTACTTATCCAGAGAATCTTAGACGTGATATCTTATAATAATAGCCCCATTGAAGCTGGTGGAGAATCACAAGTAAACGATACTCCGTACGGTGTCCGCGACGATATGGTAGGTACGAAGAAACTCATCACGATTCTAAACGTCCATCAAACGGCTTTTTTTAAATAGGTTGTCGCCTTTCCGAATGAAAGGGAATATTATAAGTAGCGTCATATTCAAACGTATCGCATTATTAATTGTTATTTAGGCTATCTCGACATCGTATTTCGTAAACGTTTGGCCCTCGATGTACCTTCTATTTCAATGTGTACATAGACCGTAAATAAAGCGTACACCATCGTATAGCTCGAGTCAGCGACGATAGGAGTTAAGTTGAATGTTTGGATTTCAATGTCTAACGTTATTTATCTAAATGGTGCTTTAGATACAGGTCTTACACAACAGTTATAGTCATACGACGATCCCAGTAGCAATCTATAAAGATACTGTTAAACCATATATAAAGGCGTCGTAGCTAAGAATTGCTATTATGGACGTATCTCAAGGCAACGAGCTCGCTATCGCAAGCTGGCGGCACCCGCTAGCCCACAGTGAATTGGCTGATTGACACCTTTTTCAGCCGCATTGTCACGCGGCTACGAATATAATGAACGTCGGCTGTGCAGCGGCAAAAAATGGGGCAGCCGAAGGCGGCTCGCTTCATTCAGTCGAAATAGTTTAGCGAATTAGAACTGGGAATATTGAAGAACGAAGGCAAGTCCCTCTGAGAATATAGGATTGTTATTGTTCTTGGCTTATCTTCATAGAAGATGCCGACTGGACGGACTGCATCGGATAACGTTAAAGCTAACTAACTCCATTGTCATTATGCTAAATCTACACGCAGGAACTCACTGTGACACTTCGTATACTTTGTTGAGATGATTTTGAATTTTTGGCGCGGTAAGACTTATGAAGATTTTTTGAAAATCTTTATGTCAATCGTTATTATATCGCACAGCCTAACTTTGATACGCATATCACCCGAACTGTTGCTGGGTAATTTTAATCCTTGCATTCATATTGTACAATAAAAATACAGCTCACTGCAACTGCAGTGAATGGATAACTTCATCACCTATTAACGCTATTATGACATCATATCAGCTAGCTGATCGTATCAACTATAAAAGTACATACTTAAAACGCATATATTTTTGTATACAAATGTTTTTTCAACAAAGGTTTATAGAAAAAAAAATAATTTAAAAAAAAAAAACGGAAACACCGGATGTAGTCGGACGCAAGCTATGCGCTACAGGACACAGGATTTTCAAGTAATGCTGTAAGTGCTGTGGTAACCGAGATAGCTGAACATGGTGCACACAGTGACCGTTCTATATAAATGGCTCGAAGTCATCCATTTAGACAGATGCTTATCCGGAGCAGCTTGCTACACATAACACAGTAAAAGGAAATTAGAGTACAAAATACGTTTCTTCTGTTCTTAAAGAAATTATCCAGTTAGTAAGCAAAACACGGTAATATGCGGAACATCTTCAAGGGCCGACCCTTGGGAACAATCTCTACGCTCGGATTTTTGTTGATGCGAAGGCCGATGATGAAGAAGCCGTTCTTCGAGCAGCCTACGCATCAAATCTACGGTAAGTGTCTGGAATATGAAATACGTTACATAACTCCTTACAGAATATAAAAATTCTGGTCTGCTGTAAGACACCTGGACAAGCCTTGTCATGTATGGCCATAGCGAAAGATCAGGAGTGTTTCAACACGAAAATTATAAGCAAAAACCTCGTCTTAATTTCTAGGTATTCAATATTCTTTTTAACATCGTAGTGTAGGTATCAGTTTTTAAGCACTGCAAGCTTAAAGATCTGCGGTACGTCCTACAATGGGCAAGGTGACTGAATTAATAGCAACTTTAGTGAAAGGCTTCCACGTCTTAACCCGTACATTTTTTCCGGAAACTAGTTTCTATAAAATGTTGCAGATATCGCGATATTTTCCGTACTAATTTATCAACCTACATCAGCATTAATTACACCTCCAGGTTTACGACAAGATTTTAGCTATGCGTGCTTAGGGAGATGCTTCCAAAAAAACGTTGAATCCTATGTTTTGTGTAGGTGTTTCTATTCAGCCAGAATATGTGCGAATCTATAATAGATAAGGAAAGTGCCTGCTAAGTGAGACTATGTTCCACCGCACGTCTAACGGTATTGATCTTTTCCTACCTAAACATCGTTCAAGCGTGCATCCAATTCCTGTCAGAGCAAGCAGGTTGTGGAACTTGTCGACGCCTCATGTGTTCAACAGAGTGGAAAAGCTGATGGCCGCAACACCTGTGATAGCTCGGTCAACGTTTTCCGGGTCAGCCTCTCGATCCCTTTCGTTACCAAGCAGAAGGCGGGAAGAAGGATAACAAGGAGGCTTCATTTTCGCCGCTGCTCCGTATCGAGTCTTTTGGCTATATCAGACGGGAGAGAGAAAATACGGAATCTGCGGTGACCTCTTTACGTCGATGAGCTTTGAATGTCTATTGGGTATTCACACGAAAAAAAGCTCTATCTGAAGCAGTGCTTATGAATACTGGTGCGGTTCATATAAACATATATGTTTATGACCAGATTGTCCACGAAGTCGATGTCAGTTTAAAGGTCGATAGAGTCTCTTCTGTGTCCTTTGACCGGCACAACAGCTAACGTATGTAGTTTAATACATAATGCGGATATGTAAAAATAATGGGGTTTAGTGTTAGTTCCTAAAAATGATATTACTCGATTTACGCAACAGTTTTAAATTATCAACTGTGTGTCAAGTGCTGTGTAGTAAAGTAGGATCATCAATGCGTGTGTTGTGTAATGAAGTAGGACCATTGTCCTCTGTAGTGAGGGTTGAAACAAGAGCCTAAAGTGATGCCTTCAAGGTCATCTGCGAGTTTCAATAGCATCTGCTATAGTTTCTGCAGTTAATAAATGCCAGTCATAAGAATATGACTGGCGTTCATTAGCTATAAAACGACCAAGCGCTTGATGCAGTAGTATTTCCCATGACACCTTGGTCATCTTCGAATCTACACAACTGAAAACTTGAACCTCGTTTGTCAATTGGAACTTCGTGTTTGTCAATTGGAACTGTGTGTTTGTCAATTGAAATTTCGTGTTTGTCAATTGGTACTTCGTGTTTGTCAATTGGAACTTCGTTTGTCAATTGAAAACTTTAAACTTCGTTTTGCCTCTAAACATTTGATCAGTTTGTGAGCATCCATAGAAAAACATTCCTGAGGATGTCCTTCCATTGGCTTGGCTTGTTCCTCATCATGTAGAACTTTTTTGTTGAAGTACCGATACGACAATTAGACAATAGACTCGACTACGCCTTCAAGCGGCTTCAGATCTCACCGGGAGTCCTTGATTGTTCGCACAGTTTTTTTACTCTGTGAGCACCTTTTGTGATTTGTTCTTTACCTTCAGACGCTTCAGTTTGCGCGAGGGTGAGTTCTCTAGCAAGGAGTCCAGAAACGAAACGATCTTAGTCATCGTTTATACAAAGTGTCTTGTTAAGGTCTATTCCACGATAAACTTTTCGATGCTCTAAATACCATTTATGGAGTGTGCTTTTGCCGTTGTGGCGTATGTGTGGCAGGTGGTAAGGGTCAAGCTGATGAAACGTTAGTTTCAAAGCTATTGCCAGGGCTTTCTCGAGATAGTTAAATTTGTTTTTTGTAGGAAAGTACAATTTGTACATTCGTCATCATTAGCACAGCGTTCGGTAGTTATACCTCCTCACATACTACTTACTTAACTAGCAAGGTATTGCTTTGATTAACACTACAATATTTGAGTTTCAGGACGATGGCCTTAATACTTGACTTTTGGTCTGGATTTTTGTAGGACATTTCGAATTTCTTCGATACTTGCTTAACGCGCATCTACACAGTGGCAGAACCCACTCGTTCAGGTCTACCGACTTCTAACAGACCTGTGAAACTTTCATCAGTCAACTCAGTGGAAAGGGGAAACACCTTATGAACCCGATTACAAGGACTGATTCACACCACTAGACCCTTACGGATCGAACAAATTTAGTTCTGTTAAGGCACCCGTGAGGTCGAACACAGTGCAACACGCGCAAGTCGCTCTAATGGATTCGGATCGTTCACAAACACTTATCTTCGCAGCATACGTCTATTGATTTATAAACAAAATCCTACTTTTTTCCGATGCTATTACATAGGCACTTAATAACTAGTTACAGCTTTGAAACGATATAATTCAACAGGATCCCTTACGTTATAACTAGTAGAACTGATAAATCAGCA